AAATGCCAAATCCAGTCTGAACATCTGGCTGACTATGCGATGATCCATCATCATCATCATCATCATATAAAAAAAAGTTGAAAGGGACCTTGGAGGTCATCTAGTCCAACCCCCTGCTCAGGCAGGAAACCCTATACCATTTCTGACAAATAGCTGTCCATCCTCTTCTAAAAAACTTCCAGTGCTTCTGGAGGCAGATTGTTCCATTGGTTAATTGTTCTCTCAGGAAGTTTTTCCTTAGTTCTAGGTTGCTTCTCTCCTTGATTAGTTTCCATCCGTTGCTTCTTGTCCTGCCTTCAGCGCCCTGAAAAATAGCTTGACTCCCTCTTCTCTGTGGCAGCCCCTGAGATATTGGAACACTATCATGTCCCCCCTCATCCTTCTCTTCATTAAACTAGACATACCCAATTCCAGAAACCGTTCCTTATAAGTTTTAGCCTCCAGTCCCCTAATCAGCTTTGTTGTTCTTCTCTGTATTCTTTCTAGAGTCTCAACATCTTTTTTATATCATGGTGACCAAAACTGGATGCAGTACTCCAAGTGTGGCCTTACCAAGGTATTGTAAAGTGGTATTAATACTTCATGTGATCTTGATTCTATCCCTCTGATAATGCAGCCTAGCACTGTGTTGGCTTTTTTAGCAGCTGCAGCACACTGCTGGCTCATATTTAAGTGATTGTCCACTAGGATTCCAAGATCTCTCTCACAGTTACTACTATTGAGCAAGGTACCCCCTATACTATACCTGTGCATTTGGTTTTTCTTGCCTAAATGTAGAACCTTACTTTTTTCACCATTGAATTTAATTTTGTTAGATAGCATCCAGTGTTCAAGTCTGTCCAGATCCTCCAGTATCTTAAGCCTGGAGTGTTGGCTATTCCTGCCAGCTTGGTATTGTCTGCAAATTTGATGAGTTCCCCATCTATCCCCTCATCCAAATCGTTGATGAAGATGTTGAAGAGCACTGGGCCCAGAACAGAGCCCTGGGGCACTACACACTTCTTTCCATGTAGATGCGGTTCTATTGAGGACCACACACTGAGTACGGCCGGTCAGCCAGCTACAAATCCATCTAATGGTGATGCTATCTAACACACATTTTTCTATTTTATCAAATAGTAGGTTGTGATCTAGTTTATCAAATGCCTTACTGAAGTATGAACTCAGCTTCATCTCCTAACCCCATACTTAGTGGCAAAATTAAGTCTTGACATTAGAGTCTAAAGATAACATTAGCCAGAGATGACAATAGAAGAGTCTGCATATGAGATTAGAAGTGCCACAAACCAGTGATTGCTCACATCTGTAAAATGTTAACCATGAGGACATTTATAGTTTCAAGGAAGAGACTTGCTTCTTTGTTTTGGAATTGCTTCCTCCATTAAGGCTCTTTCTATCCTGGCATTTCGATGCATGGATTTCATTTCAGCAATCACTTTGATGCATCACAAATATAATCCATCTGGACTGAACACGATGGAATACCCCCACACAGAATGTATAAGTACATGCATTTTTGTATAGCACTCTCTGTATTTAATTTTTTGTATGCTTACCATTTGATTTTTTAAAAAAGAAATTAAGGTGCTTGTCACAATTCAAGGCTTGGATATGTAGGAGGCTACCTCTATCCAATAATTTGTTCCTGTCCGAAAAGAACTGATAAGGTCAGCACAGTCCAGTCCTATCTACTAAATGGTGTCACTAGATTTTGGAAGTATACATTCTCTGCCACTGGTCCTAGTATTTAGAACAGCATTCCTTCTCTGCCATGTCCTTTAGCTTGCTGTTATTGGAAAATATTTAAAACTTGGCTCTTCAGGATTCCCTTGGCCAGCTGGTTTGTAAGACTGTTTCGTAACATATTTTATTTTACTTTATTTTATTATATTTATCCTGCCAGTTATTATAACTAACTGAAGTCTGCAGACATACATATTACCTTCCTCCTCCTATTTTCCCCAAAACAACAACCCAGTGAGGTGAGTTGGGCTGAGAGATAGTGACTGGCCAAAGTCCCCCACCTGCCTTTCATGCCCAAGGTAGGACTAGAACTCACAGTCTCCTGGTTTCAGTATCATAACCACTACTATTTCCTAGGATGCAATTTGAGTTTAAATGGTTTCCCTGTAGTTGATTTTGTACTACCGGTATGTATTTTATGATGCAATTTTTATTTATGTCACCTGCAGTCCCGATAGTTTATAAATTGAATAAAATAAAAAGTTATCAGAAGTTTGTGAATACAATTATGCTTTTAATTAGTAAAATAAATTATGCTGCTACATCTTCTCCAGCATGTGTATAGCCTTACTAGAAAAATAAAATATTTTAATCCTGTTTCATGAGAAATATGTAATGAAAAGATCAATATAAAATCCAGTATATTTTGCAATGTTTTTATTTCCACCATTTGTTTTCTTATCCAATGTTTCTGTAGCAAAATAATAATAACAACAACCATCATCATAGTAATAATAATAGCTACCAGACCAAAAATAAGCTGCACTTTCTTGGAATGATGCAATGCATCTTATATTCCAGTTTACAGAAGCTTTTAGGACTATATGTAAGTGAGCTGTCCCTCATTCCAACAATAGAAAAATCTCTGTATATTGGCCTGATACAACTCTTTTTTTAAAAATGCATGTACAATTCAAGATTGCTTTGTTAAAATATATATATATATATATATATATACAACCTATATATATATATATATATATATATATATATATATATATATATATATATATATACACATTATACATACAGACACTAGGACCCAAAACTCTCACCAGGAGAGAGAAAAAGAAACAAGACCAGGAGATCCTGAAATGAAAATCCCTGAACAAAAAAGCCACTAGAGGCTACCCTCACCCCTTACACACCACACATACATTAACCTTTATCAAAGAGGAAATCAGCAAAGCAGAAAAATAATTTTAAAAGTAACAGAGGTTTATTTTCAGCATCTAGTTCCTTGATAGCTATCAAAATAATGACCAAGCATTAAATATATTAGAAATGCAACAGAGAGAAATGCAGTACTCAGTTTTAAAATGAAATTTACTGAGGTTCAAGTATTTCCCTTTAAGCATAAAACTATATTCTGTACAGACATGAGATGTGGGTTACTCAAGAAGGGTGGAAAATGCACCCTGAGCAGGCTGAAGAGTATTCCTGTGGTTAATTCACACTTTCAGAATGGAACAGATCCCCGGACTTAATACTCAGATTCAAGAACCCAAACTAGAGGCACAACCTTATCATGCAAGAACTATAGATCTGATTAATCAAGAGTTCTTATATCTTGTCCATCTCATAAAACAACTTGTTAGATTTCTCAACAGAAGGCTATTCTAAAGCTGTTTGCAGAAAATTGGCATCTCTTAAAATAAAACAGGCCTTCAAATTCTTACTTTTATTGCAGATTAATTAGTCCAGAATACATAGGTATTTTCCTAGTTCCATTCTGTTAGTTATCATTGTAATTGAATTGAGTGCTTTTGAGCATGATCATGCAATTGAACCCTCATCCTTTTACATGTGTGATGTCACATAAAAAAGGATTGGGCCTTTTATCATGTCATAACCTCCATCTTGACTTTTTTTGACTTTACACACATACACATGTGTCCCTGAACAAGAATATATTTTCATAATAATTTGGAAGTAGACATTAACAATGTTTTAGTACACCTTGTGGACTTTGTTCATAGAGGAAAGGCAGGACAAGGGATAATAGAGGACCACTGTCCTTGCAACATATTATTTCAATAAATACAGGCAGAAATATTGCCTAATCCTGTATTACCTTGACAATTTATTGCAGTTTTATCCACAGTTAGATTTAGATCATTAAATAAAATCTTTTCCTCTCCAACTGCATTCCCTTTAGGTGTCAACTCCTTTGTTACAATAAGTAAGCTTAAAAAAGGCTTTTAGTGCAATCAATAAAACCTTTTAGACAAGTGTAATTGCTTGGTGGGGGGGTGGGGAGGGAGGCTGAGGAGGCCACAGGTCCTGGGAGGTCCAATAGTCCAGGTATTCTCCTTTGCTGCATTATACCTATTTCACAAGAGCAAAGGTAACATTTGTTTTATCTGACTAGCCATTATATTTGTGTGCATAGTATGGAGTAATTAAACATTTCTAATGTTCTTACAAATTGTCTCATGAAGGAAAAGGAAAACTTCAACATCCTCTCCTGAGAGGCAGGGCTTTTCTTCTCATAGAACACCCAGAACAGAGTTCCAGCACCTTTTTTGGATGGAACCTTGTAGGGTAGGCAAGGCGGGTTGTATGACGTGTGTGCATTCCAGCACCTTTTTTATTTTTTTATTTTTTAGAAAAAAAGCACTGCTGAGATAAAATAGTACTATTCTATACTGGTTCTCATAGTAACTGAAGCTACAGGCACCATATCTGAAGTGCATGAATTCACATGACCAATAGGTGACATAAAGACTATTCACCCAGATTTTTGCAGACCAGATATAGTAGCCTTGCTACCTTCAACCTTGCTGAAGTTGATACCTACAGTGACCCTTTTCAGAGATTCTGGTTTCTCTTCAGATTGTATAAATCTTTTTTTCTTTCCTCAGAGACTCTCCAAGAGGAAGGGATAAATTGCTTTGCTCTCCTTCTAAATGTTCAAATATAAATATATTCAGTTCCTTCAGATGTATACAATGCTTAAATAGCATTCAGAATCATGGATTGTAGCTTTCATGGCTTCCTGAAAAATGTTAGTTGAGTTTAGTCGAAATAATGACGATCAAGTTTAATAATAGAAAAGCAGAGTTGGAAGGGACTTGGAGGTCTTCTTGTCCAACTACGTGCTCAAGCAGGAGACCCTATATCATGTCAGACAAATGATTGTCCAATCTCTTCTAAAAACCTCCATGATGGAGCACCCACAACATTTGGAAGCAAGTTGTTCCACTGATTATTCTTCTAATTGTCAGGAAATTTCTCTTAGGTGGATTTCTCCTTAGTAAGTTTCCATCTGTTATTTCTTGGATTTCTTGTCCTGCCTTCATATGCTTTGCAGAATAGGTTGACTCTCTCTTCTTTGTTACAGACCCATGGAAGACTGCCATCATGTCACTCCTAGTCCTTCTGTTTATAAGACTAAATATGTTCAGTTCCTGCAATCATTCTTCATATGCTTTAGCCTCCAGTCCCCTAATCTTCTCTGTTGTTGTTCTTCTCCGCATTTTTTCTAGGGTCTCTTTTGTATCGTGAGGACAAAACTTAATGCCGTATTCTGAGTGTGGTCTTACCAAACCAGTATAAAGAAGTACTAGCACTTCACGTGATCTTGATACTATCCCCTCTGTCGATGCAGCCTAGGACTATAAAACAGTGATTCTCAGCAGAATTTGAATGGTTCATGTTATTAAAATCTGTTGAATAGATATACTCTATTAAAGAAATACAGCAGATATAATTTTGGTATGCATTTTAAACTTTAAAATTTTTCATTATTTTAAATCCCAGAGAATAGAAATACAGTATGTCTGTTATGGCTAGATGTTAACAAGATTTTCTCATCTCAGTTAAAATTAGATTTTGAAATGCATGGTAATGATTAACAGTCGGAGGAAATCAACCCTGGAGGACTGAGAATCTCCTGGTAATCTTAAAATATTTCCACAGCACGCTTTTCTCAGAAGGAGAAAGGAGAAGGAAATATAAATGTACATTAACACTATAGAAATATTTTAATAAGATATTAACTATAAAAAAATAAATGTTTTTGACATTTATGCACATGCTGCCTCTGGCAACTGTTCTTTTTCCAATTATTGAGATTGGAAGCTTATTAATCTGATTCAAATATTTGTAATTTTCAAGCAGTTGTTACATTTACTCGTGATGGAGAGGTAAACCTGATGAATAGGGCTCCAATCTCCAGTGCAAACTTCAGTCAAGAAATCCAGTTGAATGTGATCTCCACAAAGCTGTTCCATCTCTTCTGGACATTTTATTGTCTGTCTTAAGAATCCTGTAAAAGGGAGGTCATATACAGAATTTTAACTGACAATAAAGGCAGCAGATTAGAAAACTGATAGATTGACCAATGGATTGAATTTTTTTGGAAAAATTTCCTGCATATGAATTATTATTCACTGACATGAGGTTTGATTAAGAGTTAAGACACAATTAAATTGTTCCACTATATTGTGAAACAACTAAAAAGGTGCTATTTGGGTTTTTCAGCTCTGATATCAAACTGGATGGATAAATCTAGCAGGAGAGCTTCCCAGCAAATTGTGTCTCACTCTAATCGGTAATATTACAAGGTGCCATTTCTATTTTCCACCAACATGTCTTGGGTCAGCTATAACAAAGACTCTTCATCCTTGCCATCTTGTGACTCCATATTTGCCTCTGCAACTAAGGCAAAGCCTAGGTGGGTCCCCTGTACATCCAAAAAGTGCTCAAGTATCATACAGAGTAAACATTCTTTTATAGCAATGCCTGCCTATGGGCAGGGATTTCACTGGCTGTTTGACTCCAGCTTGTGAGAGAGTTCAAAGAGCAAATTCTGATTGTCAATAACTTGGAATTGACGGACATAAGCCTTTGTCTGTAGCTGCTGAGGAGATGATTCCATTTCCAAACCTGTGGAAGAAAGGAAGAAGACTATTATTTAGGGAACATTGCTGTTACACATACTAGGCTTTATATTTTATGAAATCATGGCTTATTTAATAATGTTGAACAAGCCATAGGCTAAGATCACACAATATGCTAAGCCATAATGTAATTGTTTGTTTGGCTTAGAGTTCAAACCCATCAACTGTGATTCATAAATTATAATTTATGGCTTACTGTAATACACAAACCTAGTCAATTGGGATTCACTGTACTATGGTTAAGCAAATCATAGCATCATATGCTATATGAATGCAACTGTAACTACATCTTAGGTTTTGATATGGCACAATATTGTCTCCTAAAATATCTGATAAACTAATCCATACAGAATATTTAATGGACTGAATTCAGCTTTTATTTCCAAAACAGTTTCTCCTTATATTCCTATTTATACAGTTGTGCAGTAGGTGAAAAATAGATTGTGCTCATCATTCCACCAAAAGTGTTAGTAAAGTAGTTTGGTCACAAAGCAACTTCTGATTTGTGGGATAGATTCAGAACACAAGACATGAAGTATTTATCTTGATTCAGCAAAGGAGTCCCGAAAACCACTACCATATCTGGATTTCAAAAATCCAGATAACCACAGAATGACAGTAGATAGATATTTTCAGATTCTTTGCAGATATTCTTTGCAAACTTGTAGCCTGCATATTGGAATCCTACCAAAAGAGATTCATTTTAATTTCTCCATATTCTAAAGATAATAGTCAAGAAGAAACAAAAGAAAAGAACAGGAAGAAGATATATTGCTATTATCACTATCCAAAGAGTGACCCCATAGCCAGATCATCTCTTTCCAACTATGCTCTCTGAGTTTCTTCAAGGTGATAACAATTAATTAGTTTAGCTAGGCTATTTATTTTATTCGGAATTCTGTATATTTAATTGCTGATACTTTCTTTCCCATGTTTCCCTTTACTAATAGACTCATTTTTGCATCTAGAGAATTGCTTCATTGGTTTAATAGGATAATTTCTCATTACAAGCCTTTCTATATGCAAGACTGTATAATATTGCACTTGCCTCTTGTGTTCCAATATTAGAAAAACATTTATTAAAAGGGCTTTTTGTGGATTTTAGCCAGGATTACTCAAAGTAGCTTTCTGTTTTCTATATGACTAGGTCAAAAGGAAAATTCTTGGTGGAAGAGTTCAGACTGCTCTAGATAAACTATGATGAGTCAGAAAGTTCAGCCTAACTAGTATTCTAAGTGTCTTTTATCGTGGAAACTTTGGAAGAAGGGAGATTTTAAATTATCTGCTCTTCGTAATCAACTGAGCAAGATATAATAGTCATACATCACAGTTCATCCTTAAACTATCCAGCAATCATGGTTTCACAGCTATGCTACTCAGAGGAGGAGGTAGCAGTCTGAACAAGCTCCTCCTCTGATACTAGTTATTTGCTATGACCTAGAATGGTAGATTAATTAAAATAATGCCTGGGTACATTTGCTACAAAAAACACCACATCACCACAGTGGGATTTAACATATAGAGGTTCAGCTAATTATTTAAACAAAACTCAGCAGATCACAACAATAGATGGATCAGTTTAAAATTCTAGATTATTTATTCAGATATTGTGTTTCTTCCATGTTCTGCTAAATGTCTCATGGCCAACCATACATAAATAACCCCACTTATGATATAAATACTTACAGAGAGGTTGACTTCGGCATTTCCTGATATTGCGTACTTTTTCTGCAACTGAATGCTGCAAAAGAAAATAGAAAGGGGAAAAGAGCACATCTATATTTTGATCATATAAAAAATATTGGTCATATTTCCTTAGTAAACAACTAAAGTTTATAAGCAGGAAGTAAATATATATTGTTTTTCCAACTTCACAGATGAAGTTTGTTTGTTGGCTACCTCTCCCTTGCATATTTAATATTTTTTTTTTGAAGAAGATAGTTGGATCAAGGAGGTGGTTGGATTTTATTTACAAAAAGAGACACTAAAAAAACAAATTATCTAAGCCCTTTTTCTGTGAAGTTTTGAGTCAGTATTTAATATGGAAACCATATTGATCACACTTGTAGATGATCTGTTGGAATTAAGTTGAGGAGGTGCAACCATCCTAAATTTTCTTGCTCTTTCAGTAACTTTCAGTAACATCGATCATAGTATCCTTCTGCAGAGGGAAACATAGTGTTATGGTGATTCTTCTCCTTTCTCCATGTCCAATTTCAGAAATGAAGTTGGTGAGAAGAGAACAATTAAGCCCATGATATATGGGAAACCATAGGCTCATCATTCTTACTCCTTTTATTTAACATCTAAATGAAGCTGCTGGGTTAAGTCATCTGCTATTTTAGGTCTGATATAATCAGTATGCTGATGTGGCCAGCCCAGTGAGGGGATGTATAGCAGTATCATCAGCAGTATGCTGATGATACTGTTATACATCCCTCACTGGGCTGACCAGATGATGCTGTTAAAGTCTTCCCAGTATCTGAAGGCTGTGAGAGTTTTGTGCATAATCTCAGGATCCTCCTTGACTCAAGGATCTGCTTGATGGTAGCTTTGGCCAGGAGAACCTTCACATTGGGTGAATCTATTATACTCTTTTTCAGATAGGAGTCCATTCTTATGGTCTTTCATGGCTTAGTAACCTCAAAATGGATTTTGCAGTGCACTGAATATGGGTCTATCCTTGAAAACAATTCAGAAATTACAGTTGGTACAAAATACATTAGCACAAGTGGTGGCAAGTCAGCCATGACATGACATGCAACATTCATGCCCCTTGAACTACACTGGATACTCCTCAGCTTCTGGCTGACAGTTAAGGTGGTGATCAACATGATTAAAGATCTATATGTCATAGATTATCTGTTATCTGTTTATTGGGACATAGTTATCTATTTCCTGGGACTTCTGCTTACTCTGTAAGATCTGGCATACTTAGCTTATTCCTGATTCCATAAATCAAGCAATGCCATCTAACAGGACTCAGGAAATAGGCCTTCTCTGTTTCAAGACTTGCTGTCTACAATAGCATTCTTCCTGTGATTTGCATGGGTCTCACCTTATGGCCTTTAAAAAAAAAAGCATTAAAAACAGTTCTTTCCCCAAGCCTTGGGTTAAGTTAATCGGTGGTGGTGGGGAGCTTTTTATGTCTATTGTTGAGAGAGAATTTAATATACCTTCAGATATTGATATTCCTGGAGATTTATTTTCTTTTTTATTACTACTTTATATAAGCTGCTTATAATTTTATAATATAATCAATCCATAATTTTCAACAGAAGTAAGATTCAAGGCTTGAGTGTAAAATTCAAAAGTACATTCACATGTTAAATCATAATGATCTTTGTAATGCCATATTAACAAACCTATGAATAGTACAAAGAAGCAAATCGATAATACTGTATATATTTTCTCTTACCCAGAGGGATGCTGAATGGGATGCACTGTTTCACCAGCAGAGGGAGACTTCTACCAACATAATCGGGGCAACCCTACTGACTCCAGAATATCTATCATTTTATCTGCTGTTTAACATACAGCTGGTTTTGCTATCAGATTGAGTCACTCTCATTTTCAAGACTCACCAGAAGATTTTGTTAAGAACCATAACCAAGCAGAGTTTGTGGGACTTAAAATTACTTTATTAAAGAAATATTTCATCAATCGTATGTTTTTTTGTGAGGAAAATAAGAGGAGGAAGGAGCATTAGTATTATTTCCGCCTTGAGTTGCATATGAAAAAAGAGGGGATAAAATTTTTAAAAGAGCTATACCAACTTACATATAAGGAAAAGACTTTATTAAAAATGATTGCTGACCTGCTGCAGCAAGAATCATCTTGGAACGCTGTTTTTAAAGTTCTGTTTTTGTAGTATTGATAAGATGAAAATAGGTAAAGAGAAAGGAACTCTATTTCTCTATTAACAAAAGATTACTATTGGTTGTTGGTAAAATGTAACTTACCCTTCAAGAAAAGCACTATATAGGGTTACTTAACTGGATTTTCATATAACTAACAAATATTGTTAAAAGGCATAAGATTTTGTGAGCTACATTAGACACGCAGAAGTGTAGAATTTAATTTGGGGTAAGGGAGGGGAAGACAAGTTGATTATGCAGATGAAATATGATACAGATTATCAATTAATCATTGTAATGTATGCTTGATAAGATTTTGAGATAGATCGAAATCTTTTGATGTATATAAGTTTTCAGTAATCTCTCATTCAATTACATTGTTAAATTCTCTTTTCTACCACCCAGGACATTCTTCGGCAGATCAAAAAATGACTATTTTGGAAAAAACAGACTAACTTTTAGCTTGATAGAAAGATGTCCTAAAAGTCTGCAGTTTATTATTTTCAATCTATTGGTAGGTTCCTTATGGGGTTTCAGAGGAGCTCGATAACTTTGCATAATTCCACCATTTTTCAAAGTTCTCACTTGTTCTTCTGTTTCACAGAGGCCTATGAAACCTATAGAAAGGTAACTTTTCCTTCCAAGCTCAGTTTCTGCTGACTTCACAGACCCATCCATGTTGAATGTGTTTTTATTTTTAGCAACAATATGATGGGGGTTTGCCACTGCTTTCTTCTAAGATGTTCGTTTCATTTCCCAGTTTAGCCCACAGCCATAGGGTCTCCTGAGTACTAACACCCTTTTTATTTTTTCCCGGAACAGCCAAGATTGTTTTTTTTCAAACATTCATAATAATATGTTCCTCTTTTCCCCTAAAACTCTTGATATGCCAACCAAGATACACACTGTTAAAAATGGCCAAAAGCAACTTCGAACAAAAAGATGACAAGTTCTTTTGGATAAACAGGCTTGTTGGAAATATGTTATACGAATAATTACAGAATTTTTCTTTTTAACGATTGGAAAAGATGAATGCCCAGCATACAAATAATTCTGCATTTCACATGATGCACATTTAGGCCAGAGGAAGAAGATGAGGTCATAAGAAAAACTAGGGCTTCACTGACCAAGATGCAGCTTTGTTTCTCCTACGACCACCACCACCTCTGTCTCCTCTTCCCCAGAGACTAGAAAATCTGGGCCAACTCCGGCACTGAACACGTCTCTCTCACACATGCACATGAGAGCTGCAGGAAAACTGAAAAACTGTTGCCATGGTAACTGCACTGTCCCACTGAGCTAGACTCTGTATGGAGGAGTCACCCCTAAATAATCTCCCTGGGGCAGAGGGGAGATGCAGGAGGGAAGAGGATTTGAGCCCTCCCACCCTTCCACTGTCAGACTGCATTTAAAGTCAACCATTCCTACTCTCCCCCAGTCCTACAGCAGGGACCAAAATAACACTGAGTGTTTCTTGCAACTTGTTATATCCTAGCATGGGGAGCAGCCTCAGCAGGAAAGGAAAAGCAGAAAAAGATGGGCTCTGAGGCAGAAAATTAGAACATTAGCATTAGCCTCCAGCATCCTTTTCTTCTTATGCCTTTAGAGCAGAGAAAAGGCTTTTGGCTTGCTATACAGCTGAACAATAAATCTGTATGCCTTTGCATACAGAGGGATCTTCTCTGGGTAAAGTATTCAGGGAGTGGACTAACCCATCCTCCTTCCTAAAACTCAGTCATCTCTGCTAGACTTTCATTTTCTCTGCACATCTTAAAAAATATTTTGCAAAGCAGCCCCAGATCTTCAGATGTCACTTTGGACATTCAATGTTATGAGGGTTGGGTCATCATTTGGACCCAGCAATCTGTAAATCTGACCAGTATGGCCTGGTACAAATACTGAGGGCTCAGCCGTCTGCCCTGAGCCAATCGAAAGAGCAAAGTCCTCTGTCCAAAGCATTTCAATTCCAGGTCAGGCTACTGACATTGAGAATCCTGACACAGAAAACCCACAATGAGACAATTCCTTTTTGTCACATATCATCCCTGAAGCTCCCTATTTTATTTCTTCCCTCTGTTTTGCAACTGGGGAACATTTCAGGGAAATTATTGAACAATGTTCTTAAGTGGGAGATGTTAGCATTCCAATCTTGAATTTCCGATTAATACTATAAATTATCTTTTCTCAAGATATATGTTTTTGTTCCCTACTGCCCCATATTTTTAGAAAAATAAAGCCGTTTCTTCTATATATGCTCCACAGTTTCCCCCTACCCAACATTTCTCCCTTCACCTTCTTCCCCCAGAATAGTATAAGGTCTTAGAGCTTGTGATGAATAAAAAATAGCAGACAAAGAGTACAGTTAGTGTTTAAAACTGCTGCTATTATCTATAATAATTAAAAATAGTTTCAATGCTGGGGAAAGTGGAGCATTAGCATTTCAAATTATGATATTTGACCACCAAGAAAGTTTTGATAAAATAAATACAAAACCATTATTTCTGCAGAAAATACTCCTGTTCAGTCATCATTACATCCACAACACTCAGAGCAATACCTTCCTGCATGTATTGTTCACTCAGCACAACAGGAAGAAAGCTTATACATGAGGACCAATTTGGTCTAGTGGTTAAGGTGCTGGCCTAGAAATCGGGACTCTAAGTTTAGACCCACTTTAGGCCTGATAATAAGGTGACCAACCGTCCTCCTTTAGGGAGGACAGTCCTCCTTTTGCAAGTTCTGTCCTCCCTCAAAAAGTGTCCTCCTTCATGTCCTCCTTTTTGATATTTGAAGACTAATCTGCAAGGCTTTTTTCCCCTCATAGAACGCTCAGAACGGCGTTCCGGCACCTTTTTTTTGATGGGTTTTTTTCAACTTTTGCATGGGCTGTGCTACTCCCACTATTGGCTTTCGAAAGCCAATAGGAATTGCTGCTGAGTGCACCAAAACACCCGGCTGGCAAACTTTGCACATGCAAGTTGTCTGTATTATTGTTGCAATGAATAAAATGTTTCTTTTATTTACAATATTTTTTCTTCAATTTATTTGTGTCCTCCTTTTCATTGTAAAAAAGTTGGTCACCTTACTGATAACCAGCTGGGAGACTGGCCTGTCACCCTCTCTTACTCAGCCCATCTCACAAGGTCATTGTGATGATGGGAAAAAAGAGGACAAGGAAGGAGTATTAGGTATGTTCACCACCTTGAATTAATTATAAGGTATCGGAGGAACCATCTCACCCTGATGGGACTTTGCCTCATTTGTTCCAGTGGAAAGGGCCTACTTTGGATCCCAAAGAATTTTGGCTGGTGAGGTCCAGGAGAAGAGTCTTTTCAGCTGTGGCTCCCACCCTCGGAAATATTATCCTGTTGGAAATGTGAGATCCACCTTCACACTTTGGCCTCTCAGAAAAGCCTGAAAACTTAGCTCTGCCACTTGGTCTGATAGAGCTCTGACATACTAAAATGGCTAAATGGGTAGAGAGGATTCCTACCCTAAGACTGTCCTCTGTATTGGTTTTAAGTTTTTTTCTTTAATTCCTCTACTTATAATTGTCTTGTAGGACTTTTCCACTTTTTATCAAACTGTAAGCTGCCCTGAGTTGCTGTATCAGTGAAATGGATGGCATAAAAATTTAACAAATAAATAAATTAGATAAATAAAAGCAGGATAAAAATCTATTAATAAATCTAACTGCATATACTGAACTGGAAAGACATTTGTGCCTAGCTGTACATATAATTATATACGTGTTGAGTTTCCATATCTGGGAAAAATCGGCATTACAGACTGTCCCCTGCCTATAGGCTTTGTCCCTGCAGCTGCAGCGAACAGGCAATGGTTATAGGAAGCTGATGTCATTTCAGAGATGACAGCAGGGGATAGGATTCAACCAGCACACTCACATGGTAAGTGTTTTATGTTGAAGATTGCCTGAATGGAGCTAATTCAAGAGGCCATCTGGGCACAGCACATCCTCTTTTCTCTCCCAAATGCAAAAGCTGAAATCTAGACTTCTTTTCCTGGAGGAAAAGGGGCACAGGACACCTATACATAAATGCATAGGTATGGGTGCCCAGTCACCACCTTATGCACTGCTTGCCATGTAACCTGTTATAGTCGGGAAATGCTCCTCTGAATTGTTCAACATTGTAGGTTAATATTTTTAATTATACCTTAAAGAAAATGAACAAAAAGTTTGTTTTTATAATAGTGCAATAAGGTTATTGCAAAGTAAATGAGTATAATATACAGCAGCACAAGATATTTTTTTTAGCTATGTGTGAAAATGAGTATGTGCTTGTATCTGTGAAGGAGAGAAATCACACAAGTGATGTCTGGTGTAATAATGAAGTTTCAAATGCTTCACAGCTTTGAATGTGAGCTCTTGGAAGCAACACAGCTTGGTGACAAAGCATTTGTTTTGCATGCAAAATGTTTTGAGATCAAGTTTCAGATAGGACTCAAAATCTTATCCTCACCTGAATTCCAGTCTAAACAGATCAGCAATAAATCAGATTGCAAATCTGAATGTATCTCTTTTTTCTGCAATGGATGCTAAAATAAGTGAAATAATTTTATCCCAGTAAAAATTGAAACAGTTTTTAATTTGAAAGAATTTTATTCCAATGAAGTAGGTGAAATAAATATCCCTGTTTAAATGATTCCAAAGCTTATAGAATCAGAAATTTCTCAGCAGCATTTTGCATGTAAGAAAAGCCCAGCCTTTCCCTTCAGAATCTTTATAGAATGGGCTGGGGGGGGGAAGGCAGGTAGAAATAAGGTTTTTTTCTTTGTCTTACCTGACACTTCATTTTAGTTCAGTACATAATCAAGTTCCACATAATTTAGGAATCAGTGTACCTGCCAGTGGCAGTAACACTATGGTTGTGATAAAAAAAAAACTAGCACAAATTTGTCAAGAAATAGAAACAACAATCTTGCAGGTGCTTTCTTCATATTTATGATGGAGGCAAATCAGTTTCATCAAGATAGAGTGCCAAATAATACAGCATCTTCTTTAGCCTTTCATTGCATACAGTTTTTATATTCTAACAAATGGCAAATTATCTAGAGTTGCAATCAGACATTTAGCATGCGTTCACCCCCTTACTTTACAACCATCTGAATTAATACATCATTTTACAATTTTTCTGATGCTTTAAAATTGCATTTTCTTATGGAGACTCACTAATTTTTGTTTTAAGGACCCCCTGAGAGAAGATGGACTAGAAGACAAACTTTATATTTATTCCCTTTTTATGACATAATTATTCCCATTTTGCAAACTGGGAAATTAAAGTCACTATGAAGTACAGTAAAGAAAACTGAGAATTATTTGATACAGATTCTTACCAGTTTTTCTACATTGATTAATCCATCCACTAAGGTTTTGCTAGCTTCATGCAAAAATGTCAAGTCTGAGAAGAGAAGAGGGAAAAAGAAAAGTAAGAAAAGGATAAAAAGCAAAATTCATTTCTAACTATTAAAAATATATTGCTAGTAATCAAATAATCCTTCTCTACTGCGATTGTAGCAAGTTAGAAGAAAACCCTATATTTATGCTCCAATTAATTAATTTATTAATTCTGTTAATAGCTCAATGTCTGTTATTCAGATGCAATTATATGCATGTATAAGAAAAACATCTGAGTAGTGATGATAAAGAATGAGAAACTTGCTACTTCCAGGAGACTGTGTATCAGAATTGGAAAACAAGTTTTGCCTTTAAAACACTAGCACAAATAGATTTTCTATTTGAAAATATTCATATACATAGGAGAAAAATAATAGTTTTGTTGATAACTAAAACAACACCAAACTTTTCCCTGAATAGATTCTGCTTCTTGAACATCTTGGAGTAACTTAGTACTCTCTAGATGTGTTCAAATTAAATTCCATACAAAGTCCTTGATTTATGATCACAATTGAGTCAAAAATTTATGTTACTAAGACAATTGTTAAATGAGTTTGGCCCATTTTGTGACCTTTCTTGCCACAATTGTTAAGTGAATCATTGCAGTTGTTAAATTAATAACATGGTTATTAAATGGTTTCCCCATTGACTTTGCTTGTCAGAATGGCTCAAAAGTTGTTCACATGACCTCCAGGACACTGCAATCATCATAAATATGAGTCATTTGCCAAGTGTCTGAATTTTGATCACATGGCCATTCGGATCCTGTAATGGACGTAAATGTAAAAAATGATCATAACTGACTTTTTTCACTGCTGTTGTAATCTTGATCGGTTACTAAATGAACTGTTGTAAATCAAGGACTATCTATAATTTCTCAGTCACCACAGCAAAGGTCATTATGGAAGACTATTGAGAAAGGGTTTTTAGCCCATTGTATTATTATTGCTCCAAATATCCTTACTTCAAAATTAACCCTAAAATTAGATTTGTTGAGTACTGTTCTGCATAGCAGACTTAAGATGCTGTCTCCTATGTTGAAACAGATAGACCGTAAGGAGCTGTATAAATAGTCCTCAACTTATGACTACAATTGATCCCAAAATTTATGTTACTAAGCAAGGCAGTTGTTATTGGTGTTTTATTCCATTTTATGATCTTTTTTGCAACAGTCATTAAGTAAATCACTGCAGTTGTTAAGTGAATCATGTGGCCATTAAGCAAATCTGGTTTTTCCCATTGACTTTGCTTGTTGGAAGCTGACTAGGAAGGTTACAAATGATGATCACATGATCTGTGAATATACTGTCATAAATACATGCCAGCTGAATTTTGATCATGGAGCTATTGCATTGGTCATAAGTGTGAAAACTATGCATAAGTCACTTTTTAAAGTGCTGTTGTAACTTTGAATGGTCACTAACTGAATCCTTGTACGAAAAGGACTATATGTAATCTTTGCTAACCAGTTAACAAATGTATGTAGGAAGCTTATCACCGTAGTAATAGGAGACTTCAACTATTCAGATATCAACTGGGAGACAAACTCTGCAGTGAGCAGGAGATCAAACAGATTCCTAACCAACCTAGCCAACAACTTTGTCACCCAAAAGGTGGAGGAGGGAACTAGACACAAAGCTATACTGGACTTTATCCTTACAAACAGAGAAAAAGTGATAGAGGGAATTGAAATCGCCGGAATCTTGGGTGAAAGTGACCACGTCATACTGGAATTTAACATAATGCAAACACTAGCAATAGAAAACAATCCAATCAGTGTCTTAAACTTCAAAAGAGATGACTTTAACAAACTCAGAGAGCATCTAGGAAAAATCCCATGGATGAAAATTCTAAATGGGAAAACAATTCAAGAAGTGTGGGAAACCCTGAAAAATGTGATCATAAAAGCCCCGACCAGCACAATATCATTGAGAAAGAAAAAACAAGAAATTCAAGAAAAAACCAGCATGGCTGCACAAAGATCTCTCTGACAAACTGAAAGACAAAAAGGACAAATACAAAAAGTGGAAAGAGGGGCACATAACTAAGGCTGATTATCAGCAGACAGCCAGAACTTGCAAAGATGAAATCAGGAAAGCAAAGGCTCAGAACGAACAAAGACTTGCAACAGAAATCAAGGATAATAAAAAAAGTTTCTTCCAACATATTAACAAGAAAAAAGTCAAGGAAACTGTAGGCCCACTAAAGAAAGAAGATGGCAAGGAAATAACAGGCAACAGGGAGAAAGCAGAGCTGCTTAACTCATACTTTGCATCAGTCTTCACACAAAAAGAAATTATAGCCGAACATACCAAAAAAACCACTGCAAAAGACATATTAGAAACAAAAGTTAAAATAAGCAATAAAATAGTAAGAGAACACCTATCCGACCTTGATGAATATAAATCACCAGGACCCGATAGATTACATCCCAGATAAAAGAGCTAGCAGATGTTATCTCAGAACTGTTGCACCACATCTTTCATAAATCCTTGAGCACTGGGGAAGTACCTGAGGATTGGAAAAGGGCTTGATGTGGTTCCCATCTTGAAGAAAGAAAGAAAATGGATGCAGGAAACTACAGATCAATCCATTTAACATCAATAAATTATCCTAGAAAAGATAATCAAAAAACAGATCTGCGAACAACTAGAAGCAAACAAAGTTATAACTAATAGCCAGCACGGGTTTGTTAAAAACAGATCATGCCAAACCAATCTTATTTCATTCTTTGATAAAGTGACTAAACTGGTAGACCAGCGAAATGCTGTGGACTTAGTATACTTAGATTTCAATAAGGCATTTGATAAAGTAGACCACAACCTACTCCTTGGTAAGTTAGAAAAAGATGGAATAGACATCACCATCAGATGGATCTGTAGCTGGCTGGCAATCTGTATTCAACAAGTAGTCCTCAATGGCACTACATCCACCTGGAGAGAAGTAAGCAGTGGGATACCACAAGGTTCCATCTTAGGCCCAGTACTCTTCAATATCTTCATCAATGACTTAGATGAGGGAACTGAAGGGGAACCCATCAAATTTGCAGAGGACACCAAACTGACAGGAGTAGCCAACACCCCAGAAGACAAACTCAGGATCCAAAAAGATCTTGACAAACTTGAACAATGGGCCCTTATTCATCAAAATGAGTTTCAATGTGGAGAAAAGCAAAGTTTTACATTTAGACAGGAAAAATCAAAGGCATAAATACAGATTGGGCGAGACCTGGCTTAAAAACAGCAACTGTGAGAGGTACTGTATCTTTGAGTCCTAATGGATGATCACTTGACTATGAGCCAGCAGTGTGCAGCAGCAACCAAAAAAGCTAATACAATCCTGGGTTGTATAAACAAAGGCATAGAATCAAGATCAAAATATTAGTACCACTTTATAAAACCCTAGTAAGACTACACCTGGAATATTGCAGTCAATTTTGGTCACCATATCACAAAAAAGATGTTGAGAGTTTTGGAAAAATTCAAAGAAGAGTAACTAAGATGATCAAAGGCTTGAAGACTAAAACATACAAAGAACGGCTGCAAGACATTTAGGCAGGAAAATTCAAAGGTATAAATACAGATTGGGTGAGACCTGGCTAAAAACAGCAACTGTGAGACGTATCTTGGAGTCCTAGTGGACAATCATTTGACTATAAACCAGCAGTGTGCAGCAGCAACCAAAAAAGCTAATACAATCCTGGGTTGTATAAACAAAGGCATAGAATCAAGATCAAAATATTAGTACCACTTTATAAAACCCTAGTAAGACTACACCTGGAATATTGCAGTCAATTTTGGTCACCATATCACAAAAAAAATGTTGAGCGTTTGGGAAAAATTCAGAGAAGAGCAACTAAGATGATCAAAGGCCTAGAGACTAAAACATACAAAGAACGGCTGCAAAACTTGGATTTAGCTAGTCTGAAGGAAAGAATAGGGGAGACATGATAGCAGTATTCCAGTATCTGAGGGGCTGCCACAAGTAAGAGGGGGTCACGTTGTTCACCACAGCACCAGAGGGAAGAACGAGAAACTATGGGTGGAAACTGATCAAAGAGAGAAGCAACCTGGAATTAAGGAGAAACTTCCAGACATTGAGGACAATCAACCAGTGGAACAGCTTGCCTCCAGAAATTGTGGGCACTCCATCACTGGAGATTTTTAAGAAGAGACTAGACCAGGGGTAGGCAACCTTGGCTCTTTTATAACTCATGGACTGGCTGGCTCAGGAATTCTGGGAGTTGAAGTCAATGAGTCTTAAAAGAACCAAGTTTGCCTAACCCTGAACTAGACAATCACCTGTTTGAGATGGTATAGGTTCTCCTGCTTGAGCAGGGGGCTGGATTGGAAGACCTCCAAGGTCCCTTCCAGCTCTATCCTATTCTAATCTAGATTTCTACCCAATCTAAAATTGGCAATAATGTTGGTCAGGTGTTCTGTCTGATGGTGATTATCACATCTGCCAATTGCTAGATTCCCTTGCTTCTTTAGCTCTCCCAGTCTTGCTGGGAAAAAAGTGCCAATTAATTTTCTTTCTATTCCTGTATTAGCTTCAGGACATGTGGTTTGCATTGATAGATTTTTCATTTAAATTCCTCCTTAGGCCTGGCACTTCCTGTTTAATATGTCCACTGGTGGGCAGGAACAAAAAGAAGGAATACCACCATTCTTAACAGGCAAAATTCTCGTCAATTTTGGTTGTTTAAAAAAAAATCCAACATTTCACTCCTCTGCCAGTGGGAAGGAGGAACAGGGAGGAATTTAAGGTACTGGCCCTCTCTGACCAGCTGCTGCTTGCCCCAACTGCTGCAATCCTATTGCATAGGTGAATAAGTATTGGTGTCTTTTCAAGCACAGGGCAATTCAGGCTTTGCATGAGCATGTTCCTCTTTACCCATACACAGATCGTAAAAATGGCCATTTAGGGCAACAGCTAATAATTGGACAGGAGGGGGGGGGTCACACCAGGAGTTTCATACAACAACTAATAGAAGGAGACATTGCCTAGAGAAGGGTGGGCTGGGGAATTCTGGAAGTTAAAATTCAGAAGTCTTAGAGTTGTCAAGGTTGGACATCTCTGGCCTAGGCTAATTAAAGAGTAATAGGGAAGCCACATGGCTAAACCTCTGTCAGGACAAACTGAAAAGCACTACTTTTTAAAATAGGGCAGAAAAGCACAATGGCAAACTGCTTCAATGCTGGGAGAATGATAAGCTGAGGGTGACATCATCCAGTCAAGTCAATGTGACCCAGTTAGTAGGTTTTGCAGAAGAGTCCTAAGATAGTTTCCCACACATTCCAGTTTGAGAAAAGCAAGGACTTTGTATCCATCAAGTATCACTAACCTTTTAGGATGAGGGGCACAAAGGGGATAATGGGAGGTTTCATCCTAGACAGGACTTCTCTGTAGCTTTTATGATTCCTACAGGGATCCTAAAATGCAAAAGAGAAATGAAAAACTCAATATTATCTGTGATAAAAGCAGAGAGAGAATCAACTGCAGTCATTCCTCTACCCCCAACCCCCATTTTTTAAGTTAAACTATAGAGGCAAAACCATGGATATATCCAATTAAATGTGTTAAATATGAATCCTTGATGAGGCTAGGAGGTTCAAAATCATTCTAATCATCACAAAGACTGTTTGAACTATGCAGATTTAGGATTACTTTGAAAGAATAGGAGAGGAAAGAAGGAAAAGGGGATTTTTTAAAAAAGAAATGTGGTTCTTAGGGTGAAAAACTATTTCTAGCAGTATTTTTTCCCCAAAAAATTTATATCAAAATATTAAAAGAGATTCCAGGCAACATTTTTGGCCTATACTTATTTCACGCTAGCTGACAGCAAAAATCTATAAATATTAAAAATTCCACCATACTTAATAGGTGAAATTAAAATAATGGGTCTGTTTTTCAGGTAAAATGTCCACCACAGCCATTTGTTTCTAGAAGATCCTCAGTAAGCTTCCAAGAAAATCCAGAGACTCCTTGGGACACTGTTTATTAACTACTATATTAAAAAAAGAAACACATCAATGACTAGAAAACATTAGAAGAGAGAGTTTTCAACATCTAAACTGTGCTTACCAGTGGGAAAAGATTTATCCTAATTGCTGGAAGTGAAATAGCCTAAAATCTAGTTTTTTTCCCCCTAGTTTTGATTTAAGATAAAAGAGGGGAAAAAAAAAATCAGGGCTGATAATAAAGTGGGATTAAAATAAAATAATAAAATAAAATATTTAAACTGGATGCTCTTGTGTTTGCATTACATACTTTTAGTTCCTTTTAGTCACACTTTTTACCAGCTCTTTTATAAACAAAATATGAATGATTTACCGTGAGGTTTTCAAATTTACGAAACAAGTTCTTAAATTTGCCTGGAAGCTTCTGGAAGAAAAACAGAGTGATACAGATATAAACAGTTCTAAATGGACAAGATGGTTTAAAAATGATCAGCTGAAAGCAGAGTCTATCCTGTTCAGTCTGTCCTCAGTGATGGATGTGGGGTAATCTATCCAGACAAAAGGCTAAGCACTGTGGAAAACTTGCAGATGTTGACTGAAAGTAAATTGAGCAAGCTACAATTTAAAGAGGAGGAAGGCGTGTCTCCCAACATTTTCCCTTCCAACTGCTTTTACAAAAAATAGATTTCTCCATGAGGAGGTAATACCGTAAGTGACAGAAGTGCCCCAGTTTAGAAGCTATATACAGCTTCTGAGAAGCAGTTGATATTTAGGAGAAAAACGAATGACCACATTGAAGCTTACATTAATCCCTGATTTAATGGAATTCATTGTAAAATGAAAAGTGAATCATAAACACATCTTCTCCTTATTTTCAGGTGTTAGGTAGATAACCATTTGAGACTTCAGATAAGGGAAAGTGGTTAAACAGGCAAACCCTGCTTAAAAATTCAAACTGAGAATTTATGCTGTTTTCTAATGTTTTTTTAGATCAGTTTTTCCAATGAAGGTTAGACTGCATCTTACAACTAGAACCATCTAACATGGACAATTGTCTAGCAAGGACCATAAGAAAATTTGAGGAACCATCTTACCCTGAAGGGACTGGCTCACCCCACCCATGCTGGCAGAGGGGGCATTCTGCGGATCCTGTCAGTCGAGGAATTTTGGTTGGCGGGATTCAGGAGAAGTGTCTTCTCTGCTGTGGCTCCTGCCCTTTGGAATATCTGAGGTGAGATCAGCTCCCACCCTTCTGACCTTTCACAAGAGCCTTAAGACCTGGTTCTACCAGATGGCTTGGGGCCCCATTGGGCTTCACACTGGAGGTAGTTGATTAATTCAGAGCTAATCCCACCTCCCTCACCATGCATCCGGTTCCCTCCTTCTCTATCTTGTGACAATAATTTTATTTTGTTTATATTGTTGTTTTATTGTGTTGGAATATTTATACTTGATGATTTTAATATTTTTATGCTGTAAGCCACCCAGTCCCTTTGAAACGAGATGGGTGGCAAATACATTCAGTATTAAGATAATCATAAAACAAGTAGCTCTCTTCAGGGGCAGCAAACAGGTTCTGGTTCAGTCAGTACTTTCTACTGTAGTATGACATGGCATTTACAAAACTGGATTTAAGACTGCATTTGGCTAACTAGCATGTTAAATACTGAGCTGTGGTAATTTAAGCCCACAGGCATTACAAAATGGCTCCCAGCCTCTTTCAATACATAATGAGTGAAACAGGTATACCTTTTCATCTTGAAATGTGTTTTGAACGAATGTGACTGTTAAACATATGCATGCTGCATAATGACCATGTAGAACAGAGAAACTGGTTCTTGGATCTGAGCTAGATCCATTAAATCCATTAATAAAAGACTGTGAAAGGTAACATGCCTCTCACAGACATCAATCAGGTTATATAACAGCCTTCCAAGGAATCGTCTGGAATTTTATTCCCTCTATATGAGGAAGCCCACTGTTAACATATTCAATTAACAGTTTATAGGCTACAGCAGTGTTTCTCAACAATGCTAACTTTAAGATGTGTAGACTTTGACTCCCAGAATTCCCCAGCCAGCATGCTACAGGAGTTCAGAGTTCTGCTATGTTCAGAATTGTTCCAGACAACAGGACAAGAAACAATTGGTTGATAAATTACAAGAAAATACCTTTTAGTTAGACATTAAGAAAATAATTCCCAATCTAAGAGCTTTTTAACAGTGGAACAGACTGCTGTGAAAGTAATATATTCTCATTTGTTGGAGGTGTTTAACCATGATCGTTTGTCAGCAATGCTATAATAGTAGATTCCTGCATTAATCCAGATATTGAACTAGATGATCTTCATAATGCCTTTAAACACTTACATCCTATGAATCTATATTTCTGTACATAAAATGTGAGCTCATATGCCTGAATGCTACTCACCTGGTTTTGTTTTATACATGATCTAGGATTTAGATATGATTTTCTCCTAAGATATCAGAATTATATGCTATATTCAAACAGTATATTTTAGGATTTATGCCCGCTAACTTAGAAAGAAGAACAGGGATTCTCTGAAGGCCTGAAACTATTGTGCATGTTTATGTATTATGTGAATTAGCTATTATGAGTTGTAAACTGTGATGTATTAGGAAAACCATAGTTTAATGCAACATGAAATCAGAGGACTGTATAGCCCAAAGATTAAGATACTACGTTTTGTATAATTTGTATAAAGCCAATACTTACTTAGAACTGAAAACTATAAAAGTAAATTCTGAATAAGGAAACATAAAATTGATCTTAAAAATGGAAACTACAAATCATACCCAGAAACAAACTACCTTCCATTACTGCTCTTGGATGATGTTTAAAACTGCAGTGGGTTATAAAGAGAGAGAGGTTTAGTGGCTTTGTTCACATAAGATAACCCACAATGTGGTTGCTTGGCTTAATATGTTATGTGTACACAGCAGTTATGATGTGTTAGGATATTAAATTTAGTAGCTGGAACAGTACAGTGTACAATGGGACAGAACATACAGTTGTAGTTCACTGGTTGGAGAGTGCTGGCTCATGCATGATTGGTTGCTGAGGGTGTAAAGGGGGAGTTTCTCCTTTTCCCACCTTTCTCTTCTGTGTGTTATGTATGCTGTTTTGATTTACCTCATGATGTTTCTGTGTTCCTGACTATCTTGTCTGCTGTAAATATAAATGTGAAATATATTTATTTATATAAAATCACAACTTTGAGGCAGCATCTCTGACTTCATTTGGACAGTTGCTGCCCAATTCCCTGACATAATGTTTTCAATAAACCTTATTTGACAAACAATAATTTAATACAGCATATAAATCTAATGAGAATATTGGTTCATGAGTGAGATCCAGATAATGTAATAAGTAATATTGTAGCTGTTACAATGCATCCACCATTAATGCTGAAATCCTACTTGCTGAAATCCTGTTTTATAAGCATCATGAGAAAGAGTCCTTAAATAAGAAACCTATTACTGCATTTTCTGGATCATGGATGTTCCTTGTTTGCATCTCTGCTTGATGCCAACACAGTCTGATGCCAAAGATTATTTGAAATTATAGGAGGAGCCCAGCTATTAAAAACTATTTGTACTCTCAATTCCTGATAAACAGGAAAAGTGGTTCTTGCAAAACAACCAAAAGGAACATTGTGAATATAATGAACAAATTAGTGTCTCTATGTTTCTATGTCTACCTAGGAGTTTGGGAAAGATGAATTCAACACTCACTGTATCGCAACTGTGAATCTTTCAACATTTAGTGTCTTACAGCAGATACTTAAGGAATCTCAGTTTTCCATTTTATTGCTGTAACGAGTTTTTTTTACCTGATTTTCAGAAAGTGTAAGAAAAATAATGAACTCTGGACTAGAGTCTTTTGATATCCTTACAGCACTATTTTTTTGCAATTACCTGTAGCCACAGGGGAAGCAGCATTAAAACAGTGATTCCATGCAGCACTTAATATAAAACTACTTAATGCAGCAAGCTTTTCCTTAAAGTCAGCATTGTTCTACCATATTTACTTGGAAACAAGTATTATCCTCAGAAGAGACATCCAATTTTTATTAAAAGCTTTCTTTGCAGCTTTAGCTACTTTTCCTGTTTCCTGCTGAATCTCTTTTCCTCATTTTTTATTACTATGAAATGGGGTTTAGCTTTCATTCTTTATTTTCTTTCAAGTGAAACAAGGACAATTAAAAAGTATTTATCAGGTCTGCCAAGTAACACACTTTCAGCTGTAAGCAGACAGCCTATAATGAAATAAAAACACATTTTAGATGCTAACAATAATGCTTTGCATGTAAATAGACCATTGACAGACACAGATTAAATATGAGCATGTTAAAGATGTTAGGGTTTTCTAGAAGTGCAGAAACTACATACAACTAAGAAATATAAAAAATACAATATAATAATGATAAAACCAGTAACTCCTAATAAACCTAAAATATCTGGGTAACCAAAAACATTTTCACTAGTGCCAACTATTTTTACAAATCAAGCTTTCTTTTGCTAAATGTTTTCTCAAGCAAAGCACAACTAATTTTTCTCCTTTTTTAAAGTAAAAAGGAATAAATTATCATGAATAATATTGAAAATAAAAAGGCTGAAAACATAGAAAAAATTAAATGCAATGATTTATCACCAGCATTGTCTGGCTCCTCTGTTAAAAAAAGGTGCAAAGGATAGCAATTTTTTAATAAGGTGTGGTAACCATCTCTGTCCAACACTGCTGACTAATAGTTCACCCAGTTCCTCATTACTGTGAAACAGTAAAGCAAGAATGAAGGTGAATGTATATGGTCCAGGATAATCTGCAGGATTCAATCTGGTCGGTCACTGGGACCAGAGATTTTGTTTTCCGAGCTTTTGGACTCATACTGGAGCCCATGTTCAGAGAACTTTTCTCTAGCTTCTCACTAACTAGATTAATTGACTAATTGATTAACTGATTTGTATGCTGCAACACACACCCACTGGGATAATTCTAGGCTAAATTCATATAGATATATAGGTAGGTATTGTGTCTTGGTTTGCAATCCAGTCCTCACAGCTTTATTCAGAAGCAAGTTCCATGGAACACATTGGGAATACTCCCCAGTAGTTTCTTGGAAACTCTGTGAAACTCTTTTCTGAGTTCAAACATTATCTAAGGAAAAGATGAAGAAATGCTCCTTTGATACTTCTCTGATCTCCCTACTCAGAGAAACTTAGGAGTAATTGTTGTGTTTTTGTTTAGCTTTTCACATATTAGAGTCAGATAAGCTGGATTTCATATATCACATCAAGTCCCAAAGAACTTGGTTTGATTCTGGCTTTATATCAAAACCAGCAATGCGCTTTTTTTTAATCACTGCTTCTTGTCATATTGTGCAAAGTCAGCTCCTGCAATTTGCATTAAATCATAAACTATAGTTTAAAAAATGACAACCATGGTTGCAGTAAATCATAACAAGACGTGAATCACTACTAGTCATTCAAAAGGCCTTTCAGTGGTGAGTTGAAGTGTTATTCAACCATTTGGCAAAAAAAATATACCAACACCAGCAATCTGCTTTTTTTATCATTGATTCTGATCCTACTTCCAAGTCACTGGAATTAGTTAATTTCGTTTTACAGTGATTTAAAAAAAAAGACTAATAGATTTCACATCATGAAATGGATCTTGGACAGTGCTGGAATGAGGAAAACTTTACTGTAACACCTGTATAACTACAATTCTCAGTGAGATGAAGGTAATGTCATAGGACATGGCACAAAAAAGTATTGCTAAAGAATCTTCATGACATGATTAGAGGCAAGTGAGTAAATACTTCATAGAATGAACCAACTGAAACTAAGGAAATACTCCAGACTTACCAACTGAAATGCATCTGTTCCAGTCATAATGAAATCTGGATCTAAATGTCCAGTAGTTTTTAACTGTTTTTATGTTGCTAACGGTATAGCATGATCATTTGTCAGGATCTATTTACTGTACATTCTTAGCCATTTTGAAATATTTTAGAAATATAAAAATTTAACTGCAAATTTGGGTGATGAAATAGTGTGTATGAGAGAAAAAGAGATAACAGAGATACAAATATACAAAAATCAGTTTTTCTTCATCATCATCTTACCTCCCAGGTGAGGCGCAAACGACTGACAGGTGCATTGTTCAGTCCTATAACCACAGCATAGAATGTTAACATATCCTGATGCTGTTTACATCTGCAGGGAGAAAATAAAAAGGTAGCTGAGAATCAAACCAACAAAATATTAAAACTAAGCAGTTTCAACTGATTTTACCATGCCTGCCCTTATTTTAATTTATTCTGATATCAGTCAGTAAAATAGGAGAAGACATCTTGGCTGCTATCATGGCCCCCTTGTACATATCACCTTACTACTTATATACATAAGACATAATGCCCCTTAAATCTGTGTTATTTTAATTGCAGTCCGACTTTCTGTCCTGTTTCACTCTCAAATGCTGTTAGAGGAAGAAAGGGAGGAGGAGAAGATGAGGAGACAAAAAGCTCAGGATTTTCCAGGAGATCATTGTACTGGTCAGGTAGCAAGGAAGGGAAAATCGTTTTTAGAAGTTGTTTTTTACAAAGTAATTTGTGGCCCAGAAAAAGGGGCAGCTGTGGAGTTCACTTGGGTTAAGATGATTCCTAAATACTGCAAGCAAATAAACACCTTCACCTTCTCTTGTCATGTTTCTGAGCCCAGGTAGGCTGCCAAGGCTCAAAGAGAAGCAGGAGGTGGCAAGTGAAATGAGAAGGGATGTGACTTCATCACCAGGAAAAACTGAACTGCCAAATTCAAATATATCTGCCTCCATAATGGCTGAGAGGCAGTTAAAGGGATATCATAAAACACAACCTATACAAAGGATTAGTTCTGTGATTAGCAGGATACTAAAAGTAAGTGTTAGCTAGGTAAATGATGAGAGAAAAGGCAACACTGTCTTCCGTGAAATCCATAGGACACAAACATCATTTTTAACCAAACCATAGCCATTGCAAATCCAGGAATTTAGAGCACTTCTCTAACCTGAATAATTTGTCCAAAATCTGACGCCCAGTGTGTTTCATAGCTGTGTTCAACCTCTTCCTGCTCCTCCAGGCACCAGGCCTTTTTGCTGCAAATCCCCTCATCTAATAAATAATCTGGGAAGGAAGCTTGAGCAAAGGCTCAGCTGTTATTGGGTATTAAAGTCAATCAGGATGGTGCAATGAGATTCAACCTTCCTAGCCATTAACCTTAAAGAAACCAACAGAGAGGGGAAGTAGACTGAACATGCAGGGAAGAAGCAGAGAGGAACATAATGGTTGAACAGAACAAGAAAGGAGAAAAATGGAAATATAGAAAAAGCTAAGATTTCATAGTATATTCTGCAGATCTCTCAGAATTCCAATATTCTTTTTTACAGATTTCAAGACATTGGAATATATTCTTAAAGAACTGGAAGTTGGCAAAAGAGGATATGAACTGCTGTCCCTGCAGAGGAAGATGATTACCGTGTGAGATTTTATACACCCTCTCTTCGGGGCTGCTTGAAATTCAAAGAAACTGAATATTTTTAATTATCCCCTTTTGAATTTTAAACTATTTCCTTAACACAGTATGTTCTTCTAACCAGAGCATTCATATGTGTATTTATATGTCAAAAAAAGTCCAGATGGCAGCCACAACTGTGCAATTAAACTCTGCCTATTGTTTACTTGTATCATCCATGCAACACATATAAAAAGGGCTTGGATCTTTGAACATTTGGAAAACATTAACAATCTCATGTCAGGTAACAGAAGGAGAACCATCATCACCAGTGACATTATGACTGCATTAAATGTAATCCCATTATGAAGAAAGGACCAAAATATGGCACTCACACAGCAGCAATCTTGATGAATTTCTTGAGCAAGTGAGCCCGCTTTCCTAAAGATTCACAGAGTAATACTTCAGTAGCCACCCAGTGCTGAACCTCACTGCAGCGTTGTAGCAGCAATTCCAGATTGGCAGTCTCCCGTCGGCCACGTTCACCATGGAACACATAATCCACAAATTCTAGCTATAAAAAAATTGAAAAGGAAAGAGAGTAGGCAATGGGCCTTCTGAGATCCAGACTGAAGGCTTCACCCTGCAATCCTGGTGCCAAACAACTCATATACATGAACTCCTTTTATTGATCAGTCTACGTCACACATAACAAGGAGAAAGGGGTGGAAACTGAACTGGGGAAAAGATAAGACTAAGTAAAGTTAAGTTGTTGTATTGGATCAGTTCAGCCCACAAAATGGTGAAAGGTCCAATGACTGCATATTCCTCTATACAGGATGTCCTCCACTTACAACTGATTGCTTAGTGACTATTCAGTATTAAGAATTACAGAATTCCCAGCAGTATTTATGACCACTTGCAGCTTTCCATGATCACTTGACTGCATTTTATAATGTTTTTGCTGATTTCTAGATTTCAGCAAAACCAGCCCATAACAAACAATTAGTTCAGTTAATGATCATGGCATTTACTTAATGACCACAATATTCATTTAACCACTACAAAAAAACCACTACTGCAAAAAAAGTAATAAAATCAAATATGTCACTCTTGTGCTGTTATTATTGTGAGGGCAAGCTTGCTAGCACTTCAATGATGACTGGATGATATTGTATGATGCGTTAAATCTCTAGTAAAAAAATAACCAATGTGTCAGAGAGCAAGTTCATCTTTTTCCAAAAATTCAGTAATGAGAATGTCCTGCTATTCTGAAGTGCAAAGTTTTCCATTTCTGAAAAATTCATTAAAAAAAATCTAAGAATGGCACACAGTATAGTTCACCTTTCAAAGTTTGAATAGGCCTATTAAGAAACTCACTCTACCTAAAGAAAGCTAGCATCTCAAGGGGAACATTCAGTACAATATAGAATCACATATTAGCAAGAAAGTGAAGCATCTCTGAATGTGTATTCAGCTCTTGTTGTATGCTGAGATCATGATGTTCCAGGGAGTCAGTGTCCAAACATGTCTAGAAAAGGTCAAGTTAGGAAGATTATGTTTAGTTTGCTCACCTCATGGACACACCAGAACAGTTCCCAGTGGAAGGCTGTCAGGTGATTTGCTACATCCTCAGCTTCCATCCGATGGATTTCTGTGTCACCTGGTGACACTTGGATTTCCTCTGGCAGAGGAACCTGCAGAAAAGGTCAAATTGATGGATAATGTTACCAATGTAAGATCTGGATATGTATGCATATGAATGTGTATCTTTCTACCAACATATATAAGGGGAAGGGGAACAAGGGAGGAAGACATATTTACATATGTTGGAAAGATGTAAAGATGAACTGTAATCAAACACAGCAACTCCAACCACAAAGAGGTCAAAGACTCACAACGCAAAAGCCATGTTGACAAGTCAAGGAGAGCCATACCCAAGGAAATCCACTTACCAGGGATGGAAAAGTATCCTTTGTGCAGGCAAAAAGATGGCTGTTTATCCCCAAGGTAGTGAAAACACACTCTTCATTAGGTTGTAGCACAGATTTCTCTGAGATTGGGGGTGAAAGTGATTGAAAGTTACTGAATTACCTGGATTGGCATATAAATATCTCCCATAACATTTTCATTAAAATGATTGTAGGTTCATGTTCACATTAAGTCAATAATCTTATTTTCTACTCATCACCTCTCAAATGAACATTTTATGCTTCAACACATAGCTGGCCCACTTTGAGACATCTAGCACCAGTGGAGTTCCTAGCAGTGCAATCACTTCTGGAATGCCTGAGGGAACACCTTCCAAAAAAGTCTTGAGTATCTGAGCACCTTGGAGAGTTTAAATTGGCTGGATTTGGGACATCATTTATTAGTATTTTTTCATTATTTCATTTTTGACTTTGGACTTAAGAGTAGAGACTTTCCTAGTCTTTAAAACCAAACTCTAGGTACTAGGACTTTCACTCATTAACCCTCTCACAAAGCAAACAAAAGAACAACATACAACAGAATTATCTTCTATTTCATCTTACCTTATTGAGTAATTAGTTAATAATTATTCACGAATTCACTACTCTTTCACTTTTGCTGCACTTATGGATAATTCCTTTTATCTATGTGCCACTGTGTACTATGTGACCCTAGGCACTAGATAAGTCTATTACCTTCTTATCAGGCCTCATTCTGGTGCAACAGCCAAAAAAACCACCCCTAAATGTACTTCATTTTGACCAGGTGGCAGTAAGATGTAATAGTAATTACAACCTGCTGTGCTTTTCCATCTTTGACCTTTTATTTTCTGAAATTTTTGAGTTTCAAGCTTGAGGAAGGATAACTCAAACCACTATCACTCTTCCTGAGGGACAGATACCTCCTGATGATGCAACAGCTACCAGAATGAGAGCTTCCTCCCGTGTAGGCTGTTCATCAGAATATTGAAGTTTCTCAGTCACTGATGTGAGGATGTCCTGCACAGAGGCTGAGAGGCGGCTGCGGATGGTAACGTAGGAGTGGTCTGGCATATAGACTCTGCAGAAGACTAGAAAAAAAGGGGAGACAACCAAGCTGCTGAAACTTGGAATAGAAAGGGACTTCAATGATGGCTTGAATCCTATCAATCTCTCTGAGACTCTGGCCATAGTTGGGGAATGGATGCAATCAAGCCAACATGTTGCATTTGGAAAAGCCTGTAATGTTGGTCCTGCAATGTGGAAATGATCAAGGAACTGTCAATACTGGTAGAATTCTGTTCCTTCTAGACCAGTGGTTCTCAACCTTTTTAATGCCGCGACCCCCAACCGGTCGTAAGTCGAGGACTATTCAACCGGTCGTAAGTCGTGGACTACTCAACTGGTGCAGCACCGTTTGCAGAATGGGACTTTTGGCGGGCTCAGCAGGGCAGAGAAAGCCTGGACAATTCCTACTGGCTTTTGAAAGCCAATAGAATTAGACTCTCTTCAAGAGAGTCTATTCTATTGGCTTTCAAAAGCCAATAGAATAAAAGGGAGTAGCATAGCTAAGGAAAAGGGGAAAAAAATGGCGGACTGCGTTGTTTGGCGACCCCCGTGAAATGTCGTTCGACCCCAAATGGTGTCCCGACCCACAGGTTGAGAACCACTGTTCTAGACAGATTTAGGAGTTTCTTGGATTCATCACTCATCTGGGAAACCAAATTTATGACAATGACAAGAATGCTGCTTACTTCCCTCTCTTACCTCCTTAAATACAGACCATGAGACATCACTCATGGCATCTCATGTTAGACTTCTATAATTTGGTTTGTGGTGAGATTCTGACATTTCACCTGGCAGAAAAGCCCAACTTCTGATGCACATGAATCCCTGGAATATACAGCATCAAGTGTCCCTGTTTGTTTCTGCCCCATTACTGTCTTACAAACTTAACTTGCTGCTGCTGAATGATTACTGAAATACCTTTAATTTTTAAAATCTTCTGAATATCCCATATATGAGCTTAATTTTTAACTGAGCTTATTCCTATAGTATTATGCCAATGCTGGCCATACCTCCAAAATTTGACAACCTTAAGTAGGATTGCTACATTTCCCCCAAAATTATTGTACTTGTTTCTGCTTCATTAGGCAGACCTTTTTCCTGCAAAGACAGAAGAACTGGAGCCAGTGAAAAAGGTGGCATTACTGTAGTGTTTCCAAACTTGGCAACTTTAAGAAGTGTGGACTTCAACCCTGAGAATTTCTCAAACAGCAAGATTGAAAAACTCTGCATTAAACTAACCTGACTGCTTTTACTTTCTTTTTTCCCCTTCTCTAATCTCTTATTTTCTGAACTTTGAAAAGGCTGCAATAGAGAAGGCAGAAAAGAAGGCAGATGTCATGGTGACATTTTCCTTGGGAAACTGTTAAGTCCTGATCGGAAATGCACAAAATCTACCATAACAATAATTTTGAGAGAATGCCAAACCACATTTTAAACATTCCAAATTGATATTCTGATCTAGAAAAATTGTATGGCAAATCCTGTCTAATTTATTCAAGGGCTTGTGTGCATTTGTAATTTTTTGCCAATGGTTGAATGAAATTGTATCACTATCTTCATTCAGTTCCTATAAACAAAACTTTAATTTTATTCTCTCTTCCACCCCACTGCCAAGCATACTCTTTATTATTTACTTTCATCCGATCCACGGAAGGCAACCCGAGTTTGAAGACATGAATCAATGCGGCGAAAATGTCTGAACAAAGGCTTGACTTGCTTGCTGGGTGGTTCAGTTTCTTCAGTCATTCTGTAACCAGATGGCAAGATTTAAAAGCCAGAAGAGATGGTAACTACATTCTCCGCAATAGCTATGATTCACACAGTTCACTAAGCTACAAAGCATCCAATCACATTTTAACTTAGTATGTTATGCAAATTCAGCCAATACAACATGCATACCCCAACATGTGATTGAGTAAGCCAAAGTTAAGCTAACATTGAATAAGCATGACACACAAATTCAGTCAATGAGATGAATAATACAGTTTGACTGACTGGCTCAGCCTATTATTGAACCTAAGTTATTAAGGTTTGAAAAGAATTATTTATGGTCAAGGGCCTTTCAGCACTTGTACATAATCATGCTAAGTAATATCTTTCTTCTGCCATGCTCTCATCTCAGTGCATCTTAACTCCAGTCCATAAGTGAGATAGGTTTAAACATTTTTAGCTGTACTGATATTCCTGAAATACCAACTACCTAATCAGGAGAACTTTAAAAGTGACAATCACCCATAATAGCAGGTAGCTTGTGTAGCTCCTACAGTAGAGGTGTTATCTGTAAATCCCTAGCAGCATCCTCATTATTCAAGCAATTCCATCCTGAACTAGTTGATTTCCAAATAATTTTCATGGGCAATCCCATGAAATGGATAGCAAAAGTCTAGACAAGGTACAAAGGTAATAGAGCTTCTAGATCCAGATAAGATTGTAACTAGCACACAAGATAAAACTGTGCAAAGACCTTCCTAGCTACATCTTCCACCTGATCCTCAAATAAGAGGTGAGAATCCAGGAAGACCCCTATATAATGAATCACTTCAACCCAGGACAGTTCAACTTCTTTCAGAATTTTAAAAAATAGTACAAAAACGCTTCCATAACCACTGTTACTCTGTCTTACTTGGATTAAATCCAAATGGGAACCAAAACTTTCCCATCCATGTTGCCATTTTTAACTTACTTGAGTTCCACTGTGTCCACAAGCTCATGTAACTTCAGGATTTCATTTTCCAGTTTGTGGTAGAGGGATGCATCCTTCATGATCAGCAAATACAGATCCTAAAAGAGAAAAGAAAGTTGCTTGGGCCAAATAACATCAAACTGCCTAAGCAAAGGAATAACAACTACTGATCACCAGTATCTAGCCAGCTATGAAGACTTGCCTCCTTAGATATATGAAATAATATTTAGAAAAACAAAGATTGGGAACTTGTAATTCAGGTATATTCATTTTTTAATTAGTTTGCTCTCATGAAAGCAGGGAAAGAAAAGCTCTGTTATACCTTGATGATTTTGCCAGCCTTCTCTTCTTCTTGCAGAATCCCCTTGAATGTTTCAAGAAAGTGCAGTAAAATGATCAAAACTGCTCGTTTCCGGTGCATAGCTTCATTTTCTTTCCAGCTTGGTGGTAATGGGATTGTTGACGCAGTCATGAAGGTAGCAGAGGCAGGTTAAGGTAAACCCACAGCATGAAGTTTCAGGAAACAACTAACAATTAGAGGGGAAAAGGTATTCCAAATGACAGGTCTGGGAATGAAGTGGAATTAATCTGAGTCCAGATGGCAATAAGAAAAACCAAAGGAATTTTGCATTACTAGCCGATGTTAATTTAATGTGTCATTTTATACTGTATATATTCCAAATAATCACAAAAGTGGCATACAAAAGATTTAAAGTTCTGAATATTTTGAATTTAAAACTCTCCATTTCAGTTTCAAAAATGTTCCAAATTTATTAGAATTGTATTGTGAGCATTCCATGTCCAGAAAAGTCTCTGATAAATGGGAATGGTGGGTGGAATAGCTTCAGAATACTTCTGGAAAGGCTTGAATATTTTATTTCAACACTGAAGATAACAAATACTGAAGATGTTACCCAACTGGGTAATGAAATGTCTGCAAGTAAAGAACCAAACTCAGAGACCACCATGCTTCAACCTTGAGCTACAAATATTGTCTTCTAAAGATTGAAGTGACCATCATTACTGTCATTCACTGATTTCCTAAGAAGAAAACCTTATTGAATAGATTGAAGACTATATCTAAATACAAGCACAATTGAATTGTTTATGCTGATGACAGTCTCTTAAGGATAAGCTGCAGAGATGGATAAAAGTATATGTGTAGCCCATATTTTACAAATCATGCAATTAAAAAAACAGGAGGTACAACATCATTGTATTAGAATTTTCCTGTTCTCCTTAAGCAACAGCCAATTAAAAAAAGGGAGACAATAATACTGTATGATACAACTTTTTAGTGAGTCACCAGCAGAAAAAAAGTTTTAAAGAGTCAATTGTCCCTTACAAAGTATTATTTCAATTTTTAAAGGCTATTTTTTAAAATATTTTTCAATAAGCTTCCTAGAGATCAACTGCCTTTTAAAAATGTTGATCACTCTTTTATGTAGTTCATTTAGCACCATTTCTTCGGCAGCTTCTAGCCATATCCACCAAGGTCAAGGGATACAAAAATCATACAGCTGTGGGCAGTAGTTTCATATTTAATGACTCCAAATATTTCACTGGGTGCTGCTCATATATTTTCATAATGACTAGAAATATGCTTTTAAAATGAAAATTACAGCTGAAATTCTAAGGAAATTAACCAGTTATGCAACAGCACTCTGTAGAATAACTAAATACAAGAAGATCCAAGAATATGAAAACATGAAAAGTGAAATGGATTTCCCCCCAGTCCTTTTAAAGGGTCTTCTCCAAAAGTTTGCAGGAAGGATATTGTTGGTATAACTGATGTAAGAACTGCTCCGTGGGCAAAAACAATGAGTGGGTAAGAACAATATCATCTAGGAGGATATCTAAGAAAAGACAAAAAAAAATGGGAAGAAAAAAAGAGATTATAATGCAGCTGAGCTCAGGAAACAATGGTAAGGAACTTGGACAACTCTTTCCTTGTTTGGTTCAATAGGATGGGACACACAAGCAGCCTCATGAATACTCTGCAAATGGCCAACTCAATTCCAACAAATCCTAATAGCCTTGTTGCAGTGCCCTGGCTGGCTGATTTTAGATAATTTGTTTATTCACTTTCTTCCAGAGTCAACACATTTTATTTCAGAAGATAATATTTTATTAATAAATGAGCATCTGTACATACTCAGCATGCGTTGTAATACACTGATGGTGTAGCAGGAAACTCTGGCCTTGGAGAAAGGGGAGGAGCATGCTGCAGCAGCTCACATCAACCAAGATATTGTATTAAGGTGACCAACCATCCTCCTTTAGGGAGGACAGTCCTCCCTTTGTGAGTTCTGTCCTCCCTCGAAAAGTGTCCTCCTACATGTCCTCCTTTTCGATATTTGAGGACTAATCTGCAGGGCTTTTTTCCCCTCATAGAACGCTCAGAACGGCGTTCTGGCACCTTTTTTTGATGGTTTTTTTTTCAACTTTTGCATGAGCTGTGCTACTCCCCCTATTGGCTTTCGAAAGCCAATAGGAATTGCTGCTGAGCACACCAAAACACCCGGCCAGCAAACTTTGCATATGTAAGTTGTCTGCAGCGAAGGCGAATTGGCAGGAACTTTGCACCCCTCCCTGTTACCCAACTACATCATCTCCTAATTAGTCCCAAAGGTACCTGGAGGAGACTGGAGCGGTGACGCCACGGTAACTTTCTCTTGATCTTCGGCCCTACTAGGGCAATAATGGCTGCGGGCGCAAGAGGCAGGGGCGGCAGGGCTGTTGTGGGTGGGGGTATGAGGGGCAGCAGTGGCCGGCTGCCCCCTGTGAGGTGGGAGCTGTGGGGCCTGCTCTACATGGGGCTGTGCAGGGTGGGCGGTGGTGCTGGTGGGACGGCTGCAGGCGGGGTGTGTCGATGGCGGGCTGCCCCCCCAGGGCCAGAGCCGGCACAGCTGGTGCTTTGGGAGCCGCGAGGCCTGCTCTACACGGCAGGGCAACAGTGCTGGCGGAGCGGCTGCGGGCACGACATGTAAGCATAATTACAATATAAAATGTTATTGTTACAAATGTTTTTATTATGTATTTATCATATTATAGTGTATTCTGTATTATTGTTGCAATGAATAAAATGTTTCTTTTATTTACAATATTTTTTTTCTTCAATTTATTTGTGTCCTCCTTTTTATTGTAAAAAAGTTGATCACCTTAATTGTATTGATCTTGGGTCTGTTAGTTGGTAGCCATTTCAAGAGGAATTACAAAACCCTGAAGTTTGGTCTTAAGGACCACCCTTCTATACACTTGTCTCTTCTCATCTATGCTTGCAATGTGGACAGAAAGTGTTACCACCTTCATATCAGTCTTTGCTGAATATGATAGCCCTCCAGGTAATTGAATTTCAGTTTTAAGAATTTTCTGGCCAGAATTTAAACTTGGAGAATATGCAGCAATGGTAAAATTAGCAGTATATATACATAACAAAAAATTAATTAAATGTAAGCAAGAATGGCTTCTATATATACTGTATATCACACAGCAGGGCAAATACAAATACTTAAAGTGTGATTTCTAAAGTTTATAAATAATGTAAATGACTTGGATTACAAAGAAGGGGAAATCAGAAGTAAAATACTTATACTATTTTAGTAAGGTTTTTTTCTCTTTTTCTAGTTATTTTTTCTTTTTTTAACATTTACAAAATAACAATATAGTGGAGATTTCAAAGATTTATATTTTCCTTTTGACCCATAAAAATAACTCAGTGTACTTTGTCTATTATGGTTAATCTTTTATTAATATTATACTGCATATTAGTTGTATAACATTCATTTAACAATATAGCTTTTGAAATTATATTTTTGATGTAAATAATTTTTTTAAAAAAATAAAAAAAATTCCCCAGACAGAATGGCCATTGCTGAGACTTGCAGTTCATACATCTAAATCAGGTGTGTCCAATCTTGGCAACTTTAAAATGTTTGGACTTCAACTCCCAGAATTCTCCAACTGGTGGTGGAACTGAGAGTTGAAGTCCAGAGGCCTTAAAGTTATCAAGGTTGGATACCTGATCTAGAAGGCTCTGATTTGGGAGTTACTACCTCATGCCATCATAATTAGGGCATATTCTAGTGATTTGTGTTATGATTTTTTTTAAAGAAGTGTCTCTGAGCATGTATAAAGAATAGTTGTACAATGTTAATCAAGGAGAGAAGCAACCTAGAACTAAGGAGAAACTTCCTGACAGTTAGAACAAATAATCAATGGAACAACCTGCCTCCAGAAGCGGTGAATGCTTCAACACTGGAAATTTTTAAGAAGAGACTGGACAGCCATCTGTCCGAAATGGTGTAGGGTTTCCTACCTGAGCAGGGGGTTGGACTTGATGACCTCCAAGGTCCCTTCCAACATTATTATGATTGTTGTTGTTGTTATTATTATTATTATATGTTATTGAATAAAAATCTTTAATTTAGCTTCCAGAGAGAGACATTTTGACGTAGTGATTAAGGCTTTAAAATAGAAAACAGGAAATCATGAGTTTGAATCCTGCCTTAGACACAAAGCTGGATAACCCTAATCCTAACCCTAACCCAGGGGTAGGCAACCTTGGCTCTTTTATGACTCGTGGACTTCAACTCCCAGAATTCCTGAGCCAGTCATGCTGAGGAGAAATGGAGAGGTTTCCAAGCTGAGCCATGCTGGCTCAGGAATTCTGGGAGTTGAAGTCCACGAGTCATAAAAGAGCCAAGGTTGCCTACTCCTGCCCTAACCCAACCCTCTCTCAGGCCTGGGAAGGAGACAATGGCAAACCACTTCTGAAAGACCTTGCCAAAAAACCCTGCAGGGACTAGTGCAGGCAGTTGCCAGGAGTCAACATGATTTGAAGGCATAAAAAGAAGAAATCTTAGCTTCCACCTATTCCCCATGAAAAATAAAAGGTCATTGGTCAAAAATACAGATGAAACCCCAAATTCAACCCTAATTCTCTCAAATTTTCTTTGGCATTTATTCTCCTTGTTCACATAGATTGCTTTTTCATATCATTGTCTATTAATGAATGAAGGATAATGGCTCACTTTACCTTTCTTAGGAAAATAGACAAAAACAGAATTCAGATCAAACCTTAACACATTAGGAAGATACATTACACTGCATTTGTCAAATGGGGGAGGAGGTGTGACTCCAGTATACCAGTATACCAACTATGTTTCATCTGCTCTTTACTTTGTTTTGCTAATGATTTTATGCAGGATGAATTTCGATTTTTAAAATTATTTTTATTCTATTGTGGACCATATCAGGAGAATATATGCTGAAGCAGGGACTCTAAATAAATCTAGCGGTAAATAAAATTAATACTTCAGCAACAGTCATTGCAGCATCCTTCAGTTCAATTCACATGGTCTTTGTCCAGAACTACATCCTAAATTGAGGCAATCTGGATTTTTCTAGTTGATGAAGGCTGTGTCTTAGGCTACCACAAACTCAGTTCAAAAACATTTTTCCTTGTTGCCTGACAACATGCACACACGGCAGCTAATGAGGTCTGCACGATGGGTGAACGTTGACATTATGTGTATTTTAAGCCTCTAAAAATTAGAAATTCACTTTTTTTATCACTCTTATTGTGGCGTTAACATTTCTTGTGTCACTTTCTTCTGAAAATACTTCACTCCCTATCTGCTTTCATTTCACTGGGAGCAAGGGCACAGATATTAAACTAGTATGTATGTTAGTCTGTATTCTCCATTTAATGCATTTCTAAAAACGTGTTTGTTATGTCCCGAGCCTTGCAAATGGCTCGGGCGTTTGCAGGCAGTCCCGGGCAGGTGCAAAGCTGCCCGGGACCAGACAGGCTGTCGCCAGCGCCGTGCGCATGCGCGGGTGCTGGCGCGGGAAAAGTAACCCATTTACCCGGGAGTTGCCTATATAAGAGGCTGCAAGGCGTTTGGGCGAGGCTGAAGTCATCTTCTTGTAAGCTGAACGCTGAATAAAAGAAACTGAGAACTCCAGCTGCTTCTCGTGTCTATTTTCCCGCCACGGACTCAACACTGGCGATGAGGATGGGATGCCTTGCACTACCTGGAAAGGAAAAAGTGTAAGCTTACCCAAGGAGTCCTGAGCGGCGGAAGAGGAACGGCGTCGACTCGGCAGCTGCCCGCCAATCCGGTGCGCATTCGGGGGTAGGCTGGCTGATAGACCCGTCTCCTGAAGATCCGAAGATGGCGAAAATCGGAAGGCTTTCGGAATTCGACGTCTCACATCCAGAGCGGTGGGAGTCCTACGTATCCAGAATGGAGAACTACTTCAAGGCAAACCAAGTGACGGAAGATAGCTTGAAGGCTGCCACCCTGCTTTGCGTTTGCGGCCAAGACGCCTTCGAAATCGCAGAAAACCTTGCAGCACCTGTCCCAGTAGAGTCTGTAAGCTACGCAGACCTGAAGAAGCTGCTGAAGGAGCACTTCCACCCCAAGGTGTCCGTTATCTCATGGCGCCACACCTTCAAACAGAGGGATCAACGGTCCGGTGAGTCAGCCAAGGAATACATCGCCGCGTTACGGAAGGCCGCCAAGCCCTGCGAGTTCAAGGACCTCGAGGAACGACTGAGGGACCGATTCGTGTGCGGGTTAAGGCATCGAGAGCTACAACAGAGACTTTTCGCTAAGGAAGAATTATCCTTCCAAGACGCCTTAAGGGAAGTCACCGCAGAAGAAGCAGCAGGCGGCGCCGTCAAGAACATGCGGCCGATCAGAAGCAGTGCAGAGGGTGCGTCCGTGCACCAGGAAGACGTCCAACGAAACTCCGAGGAGGATCCGGACGAGGAAGTCGACCGTCTACACCCCGCGAAGGAAGAAACCAGAAGGGAAGCTCTTCGGCTCCGCTCAAGTGCATCGGCTGT